TGAAATGTGACTGTATTTTACAAAGTACTAGTCTACTAAAACGCAGCCAAGACAGGTTAATAAAGGTCAGTTTTATATTATTGGATATGGTAACAGGTGTGCACATGTGCCGCATCATTGTAACTTCGGTACTGTTAGCCAGCCACAGAGGAAAGGTCAATATAATAAAAATAATATATATAAATGTATAATGTTATGAAATTTAAGCTATTTATTCTAAATATTTATGTTTTCGTGTTATAATTTGTTTTCATTCTAGAATGAAAGAGGCATAATTTATATTTATTTCCTAATTTAATATAGTGGTTAAGAGATCGGTCAAATCTACCAAACCCATAAAGAGATTTGTTACTGAAAATAACTGAAAAATAGTTTTTTCTTAAGAAATTTTATAATTATCTTGACATTATAAAAATTTCACATGTGAAATTTGAAAATTTTCTGAAACATAAGTATTTTTAATCATAAAATGAAAATTACTTTGCATGTTGGATAGGCAACGTGCAAAAAGAAAAAAAGGCACAAAAAAAGATTGCTTTACAAACCTTAAGACTTGATAAAAAAAAAATTATATTTTTCGTATGAAAGCATTGTAATGTTTAAAGTTAATTTGCAAAATTTTGTTAACATATGCTTACTAATTTAAAAGTTAAAGCATGAAAACTATAACAAGCACAAAATGGTTATGAGGTCGGTCCCAGGTTCCGAGCCCATCCTGATACAGTTAAGTACCAAGAATTGGGGGATAGAAAGACCACAGCTTCACACATGTGATTGGTTGCCATGGCAAGACTAGCACCATCCAGCCTCTGCAGTGGTGTTTTACCAGCTGCATGATTAGAAATACTGTGCCTAAGTGGTTGTTTATTGGAGGTAATAACAAAATAGTAATCACAAACTGCACCTGCTTTTTTTTCTCACATTCCTCTTAGTAAATACATAATTAACACAAATGTTAAGCCCACTGGCTTTTATTCTAATGCTTCACAAGCTTTATGCATTTTAATCTTAACTTTTAATAATAAAATACTTTTTTTCAGCATATGATGGCTGTCAAGAGTAGGGTATTGTACACTTTGTCAATCCACATGCTCGTGGCCTACATAGAGTTTCCACCTAAATCACACACCCTTTTTTTGTGTGTGAAATGTTTAAAATATAATTAAAATGAGCTTTGATATTCAAAAAATATTTTAGAAGAAATAATGGTAAAGAATATTTATACATATTTATTAATATCTAATACATTAAATACTTAATTATGATACTGTTAGTTAATTTTACAATAGAATAATATTGCTGCTACTAGCAATTCCAAACTTGCTAGTTAGATGAATAATCTAACACTAATTACAATACTTGTAATTGTAATTACTAATAATTACAAACACTAATTTCAATTAGTTGATTAGTTTTGTGACATTAACATATTTACCACAATTTTCATTAACTGAAGATATTACATGACACTAGTTGATGTAATTCACATTCATGAGTAATCGATCATACTGATTAATAACCCAACTCTTTCAACATTCCATGTCTGAAACTGAAGATGAAAAGGCATTCAAGTACTATAGTTTTGATAAGTGCCTTAAGGAAAGGTGTATAAACCTGAAAAACACATTCTTAGTTTTCAAATGAAAAACTTCATTTTAATGATGTAATTAGAAATCTTTGCAACTGTTAGAAAAATGGAAAATGTTTTACATACATTAAAAATTGGCCATGGCTAGGAATTTTTTGTTGTTTTTCAAAATTTATAGTGCATACTGGAGGGATTTACACATGGCTAGGAAAGTGAAATCCTAAGTTTCTTATGATAAGTGTTTAGAATGATAATACAAAAGTTATTCCTGCCCTAAAACCAACTTTTAGCTGTTTTTATGAACATTTCTTTTAAAAATACAATTTGAAATACTACATCTTGCTCTATTCTTAGGATATCATGAGCCTCACACCAGTGTTATCTTTAATAAGAAACTAAACACCCTAAATACCTACCTTTTTTCATGCTTCAGCCTTAACAGGTAAACCCAGTGTCAACATAGATAACCAACATAAATATACAAAACACTTGGCAAAAATAATAATAATAATAATTACCCTTTCTCATTTCAAATACATCATCTATTTTCATTTACTTCTCATACTACCTGCTAATCAGCATTTCATTTTTTTTATTCACACACTTCAAGATTTTTTGTGTAAATTGCTGAAACATGTTGTGAATTTACTCTTTGCAGCATTGTTAATAACATTATAATGACTTTAATTTCTAAGGTTGATTAAATTTAGATATGTTAATAATAATAGTAATAATATTGCAATACTGGTTGATAATTATTTTTTTAAATATAAGCAGCACAATCTCTTATAATGTTATACATTTCATGTTACTTACAAGTACAATATTAATACATTGCTTAGTATTATTAGTTAATAAACAAGCATTATAGCATTTAAAGTACTAAACTTATTAAGATAAATAATTACAAAAGCTGTCTGTTGTTAATATTATTATTAGTAATCGTACTGAATACGTCTCAAATTATTGTCAACACTGAATAATTAACTTATTAAGTTAATTCTTAACTAATTTAGGGCTAAGTTAAAATTTAAACTTAAATTTAAAAAATTGCTGTTTGACTCCAACTTCCAAGTAAACCTTGAACTTACAAGTTCCTATAGGGCAAGATTAATGTAATACAGCTAAATTATAATAGTATAATTTGAATACCTTTACTATTAGTAACACTGGTAATACTAATACTATAGTATCAGTGAAACTATGAGTATGACTGAGCGCAAGACTCGTGTGTCGCCTAACACTAACGTTAACCTACAATCAGTCTAAACACATAAACAAAACAGTAACACTGGTTTAAAATATAACTTTACCACTAATAATAAATATTGTACTAACGTTAATTCCTATTTAGTCATTTAAGTTTTAACGTGAAATCATTAAACCATTAGAAAAACTTGGCTTAAATTCATTACAAAAATTACTTACAAGAGAATTTCATTAGCAACGATCAAAAGAATTTAGAAAACTTTATATTCAAGTCTCAACCTATAGTATTGTAAGTTGCAACTGAAGTATTGCTACTTACAATTTTGTGAATTCGCAGTTTCGCACTCTTTAGGAAATAATCCCGCCTCAGTTACGTCATTAAACGACGGACGAGTTATGCTCTGCGCAGTTAAAATTTTGTTTCCTGGGTCAGCAAACTAAACTTACAAAATTCAATTGTTAAAAGTTGAAAAACAGCATTTAGCATTCCGTAAAGTTTTATAATTTTAGTGTAACAGATTAAAGATATATAGTTGATAAAGTATGTTAAGCATAGCATTTAAACTATTAAAATAAAACTAGCTGAATTAAAGTTGCCAGAAAATAGTAAGCCATTTTGCAGGATGTATTTTCTCCTCAGAATAATAAGTAAGCAACCATATAAGCAATATTGTGGGGGGCCATACTACATGTTTCGACAGAACATTGTTTGTACTTGTAGGATATTCTCCTAAAAATAAACCACTTCTTTATACTTATAAATCGTTGGTTGCTAAATTATTATTATATTAGCATAATATACTTTCTTATAATCAAGTTTCTTCACAGAAGTTGGACATTTTAATAGAAAAGTAACATTCACAGTTAATAGTCTCTAGTAAGGATGTTGATCGATATTAAAACTTTTGAATAATTAAAAAAATAAAGATAATGATAATAAAATGCGTATAAAGTATCACAATCAGATATAGAAGTAATGCTATATGAATGGCAACAACGCTTTTAATTAAATATTATTTCATTTTAACTAATACATTTTCCATGAATAATAAATAGATGAAATTATTGCATGTGGTATATATGCATACCATGCGTTTTCTACCTCATTATTTTAATATAGTGTTTTTAGGGAATATTTTTCTAATATGTGTAGTTTTTACATAAACGTAGTCCAGAAAGTTAAGTTGTTGTCGTTCTAACCTTTGTTTGAATAAGAATGACTATCACGAAATAGCGTTAGCCGCTCTGGATAAGTTTGATGTTCGTTACCTTGGAAGCAAGTAATGTCAGTTTAAATAGTCGGGTATACGACAGCTTGGAGAGAAAAAAAAAACAGCTTATTATCCAGTAAAATTAACTAGCCAACGTCTTAAGCAAGTATACACACTGTATTTGTGCTTCTAAATAAAGACTGTTCATTGTATCTTGCATTGTGCCTAGTTCCTTTATTTCGTTGTCACGAACTCAGTCAGTTTTAGCAAAATTCATACCTACTCTATAATAGTGTTACGACATCGAGGTCACGTGACTAGTATCACGCCACGTCATTCTCGAACTTTCACGTCTTTTCCTTAAATCTCGTGATCCTTCTAGATATAGTGTAGTCTTGTATATATAAGACCGGCCACTAAGCGACGGAGAGGTAATGAGTAATTGAATGTATGCAGATAAAATATTGTTGGCCACGTGAGACGTGAGTTATAGCGTTGTTAAAGAGCGACTGTTGAAATTAAGTGTATCGTAAAGTTGTATTCGGAAAGAATAAACCAGTTGTTGCGTCATCGAGGTCACGTCTCCTAAGTTGTCATCTCCATGGAAAGGCCCATACAACATAGTAGATCGTCTCTCAGACGTGACTGTCCGGATAAAATGTGGTCGGCGAGGTAAGCCAAAAGTGGTGCATGCCAACAGGCTTTGGCGTTATCATGGTCCAGGACATTTCAGTTGTGACGAAGTGGACAACAGAACAAATGACGCTGCCGAAGACGTGCCACCTGAAGAAGCCACCACTACTCAGTTTTGAGAAGGGAAACG